CGGATTGTTAGACTAGATATCTTAATTTTTTTTTTACATGTCGTGCACTTTACCAGCAAAGGATTCAGTTCCTCGAAATAATTCCACAACTTGTTGCATTTTCTTTTCGATGCTATAACCGTTCTGTAATACATATTGTTTAATATTAAATGTGGTACAGTGATTGCCTCAGCAAGCATTCGTAGAATTTTTCCCAAAAGTAAAGAAGAGACATAGTTTATTTATTAGGATGTACGTTTATACGGATATATAATTGGAATTTTCCTAATTACCAGATCTCGCATATAGATCTCCAAACTTACCTTTTTCCAAGAAAGATAAAAAACGCGCCAAGTATACGTGCTCCATTACACCACCTTTATCAAAGAGAGAAAATTTTAATCTAATTTGGTTTTGTAATGCCATTTGTTTTTTTTTGCTACAAAAACAATAACATCAGAAGGTTTGCGCCAAATAAATATGATAAGAAACACTTGGCGCGAAGTATCTTTTGTGTGTAAATATAAATAATAAAAAAATAGTACAGGTTGTGTACACCTTTTGATATCATTATTTTTGTAATAAAAAATATGTAACTATAAAACCAAATTAGATCAAAATTTTTTTCTGTACAGATTTTGTATGAAGCACGTACACTTGGCGCGTTTTGTAACTTTTTTTGAAAAAGGTATGCTTTGTACAGATATCATCCTTCTTTTACAAATATGTACATGGAAAGCATAAAAATATAAAATTTTTGATACATAAGGAACCTCGAACGTTCTTTATAGACAAGTGACGTTGGTCAACTCCAGCTTGTTTCGTCCTGAGATGTGCGTGTTGTAGTATATGATTCTGAACAAATGTCTCAATTGTCACAATTACAGAAAATCAAAGGATAAGAAATATAGAGCTGTAAAGTATATCATAGAGTCTGAGTGTTTGCCAGAGTCTCTTTCAAATAACCTCACAGACAGCACCGATGTCCTATGGATATCCACATGACGTTCATAGACATTCCGAACATAAATATCCTTAGAATATCGTGTGCTGTATATTTGGACTGATGCCTTCCTTTAAGTGTAAGAGATACATATGCGAGTGAATTTGTGAATGTAGAATGCCTCTACGTGTGTGCGTTTGTATGTACGTGTGTATACACGTGTATTTGTATGTATAAATATTTGTTCGTTTGTGATTTGATAGAAAACATCCCGTATATGTATACACACATGCGCGCGCGCGCCACACACACACACACACACACGCACACACGCATCTACGCACATCTACGCACACGCACACACGCGTGCGCGCACGCATGCAATTATCTTTTAGCAAAAAAGTAAATATTTAATTATCAAATTACGTACGGAAAATTTATCCTAAATTTTCGGACGACGCACATTAAAATTCTTTACACGTTTTAGACGACGCACGTTAGCTCACAGTTCCGAGCGATCGCTCAGCTCCAAGTATAAATGTTTAGTTTATCTTTCGGTTATCCGACGACTGGTTGACAGACTGAGGACCAGATGGGGCCCAAAACTACGCTTCTAGAAACTTCTAGAAAACCACCCCCCTTAAGGACGTTCTTCGGAAAACCGATTTTCTCTAGATTTTCTGAAACTATGAATATACGTTAATTTAGGTGCTTTATGCGTGGTATAAAAGTACCTTTTGCGGTATTAAATATCGAGATACTGAGCTTCAACAAAGTTTCAACTTTTAACATGGGATTTCTATTCCGAGCTATTGAGAAACAGACATTATAATGAATTGTGAAAAAAGTTTTCTCTAAACGCTCCATAAAAATAGAAATAATATGTGATAAGTGTCAATACTTTTGCGGTACTCGTTTTTGAGAAATACTTGTGTAAAGTACGCGATTTGATGATTTTTTCGCTCGGTTCAGAGTAACAGAAGAGGAGAGGCGTCAGTTACTTGGCAACGCTGCATGAGTTCTCACGCGTGAAGTTAACTTCTTATTTTTTAGATGTTATTAGATATATGTAATATTTTGTGTATAATAAACAATTAACTTCAGTAAAATAAATTTTCTTTTTAAGCATGAATACGAGTTGAGTAAGTACGACTGGAGCCGGAGAACGTTCTTAAGACGCGTTAGAAGTGGTGAGAATTTCACGCGGGGAGTTCCAGCTATTTCGGGTATAAATAGGGCGAAAAACGCCGCGGAGCGACACATAGTTTTTGACTCTGGTTCTGTCACTTCATTCGCGACTTTAATTTTGACTACGCACATTGTTTTAACTTTGAATTCTAACTCTTATTCGACTCCAGACAGTCACTTTCCGACATTCGACTGCACATTCAATTCCGAGCATTCGCGCTCGATTCTGGGACTTAATCCCTGGTACTCTTGTATTTTAAGACCGCGTTTCACGCGTAACTAAGTTTGTACTAAGACTTAACTCAGTAAGCAAGAAACATCAAGAAACATTTCAACTACGTTGCAGCAACGTTGTAACGTTAATGCAATATAGTTAAAATGTTCCTTGATGTTTCTTGCTTACTGGGAAAGAATAAAGGTAAGATAAGTTTGAGAAAAGAATAAGCTTGAAATCTGGAATCTCATCTCGTATTTGTTAAATCCTTAATCAATAAATTCACTCCTGAGATACGACTCGCAGTTTTCACTGACAAAGAGCGTAGCGATCTGTCCTTTTCGCTGACGAAGAGTGTAGCGAACGGGTACTTTCGCTGCCGAAAGGCGTACGGGGTTGATTCTTGGGAATTGCAATAATTGTTAATAATTTCCGAAAGTGAATTTGGCCTTTACGCTGACGAAGAGTGTAGCGATCAATCAAATTTATTTTTAAGAACGCGGCTGAATAACGAAAAGGGGAGGTAGACGAATTCAAGGATCAAATTAAAAGGATTAGGTTCCAGATCAAACAAGCTATTACTTCTAATCAAAATCTTCTCTTCTTCTTCTAGAAATTGCAACAATTAGAAAACGCACCTCCATTTAAACCTATTCCTGCCGATTTCGACATTGATTATCCTAATTACAATCAGATACATAAAAGCGATCCTCATTACGAAACTTATAGACTCCGATATCTTTTTGGTCCCAAACAATAATAATAATAACAATAACTTTCACACGACTTGTCCAAATCTCTGATAAATTGCTTAAATGCATTGATCAAAAAAACGGACGAACAACAGACAGAACGTG